GCGTAGATTTGCACTTTTTACCGGTGAAGTATGCGCTTCAGGGTTGCTCACATCTGGATCTGGGTTTGGTGATATTGTGTCAACTTCGATTGCTTCAGTTTGCGATAGAGCTTCAAAACGATTTCTTGAAATAAATAGTTTTTTGTGTCTGATGGTATTTTGGGTTGGAGAGGTTGGCTCTGAGAAAGTTGAGAGGTTTCTTTTTCTAGTTTGTTGTATCCAGCCATCGTTATTTGGACTATTTGAATTATTTTTCGTGGATGAAAGGCTCGCGTTGGAATTATTTGTTAATATGTTTATGCGAGCATCATGTATAACTGTTTTGTTATTTTTATTATTATTACTAATATTTTTATTTTTAATATTAGTTTTTTCATTCGGCGATAGTGGCATGTTTATCACGGTGACAAAGGTCGCGCACCGCTGCGCGACGTTCACGATAACGGCGGTTGTACGGCGTTCGCGATATCGCGACGGCTGTATGTTAATTAAGACACTGGAATTATTACAAACGAACTTGATCACATTATGTAACAGAATTACCAATATATATAATAAATATAACATTCGTTATGTATATGTATATATGTATAATATCCGCATATATATAATATAAACATACATAAATTTGGGAAAAGTTTGAATATATATGACCGAAATCACAGCGGTGTTTAACGGAGCAACGGAAAAGGCGTGCGTTAGGTATGACTGCTCGCACGAGACTTGGTATGAATTTTCACGATATATTGAGTGATTCATATCTACTCGATTAGGTACATCGAATACATCATTCGATATGAAAATCAAAATGTTTATCGATTAGATAACGATCTTAATCTATTCGATTTACTTCTCACACTCCAGTAGGACAGCATGGAACTTAGTAAAGAGGCTAAGTGCGGAGACCACGAAGACAAACCTATCTGACAAAGTAAGTCCTAACGATGTCGCAACTAGATCAATGAGAGTGACCAAGACCAAAATGGACAAAGAACAAAAAACAGACATTAAGAAACGCTTACGGTCAAAAAAGAAGGAGATGATAACAAGTGCAATCTACAGCTCGGATTTCTCTACAGACGAGATTAGAATGGTACTCAAAGAAATAAAACTGAATAAAGCAGCTGGGTTTGATGGTATATATTCGGAATTTTTTAAGCATAGTGGCCATAAAACGCAAGCATGGCTAGCTGCTTTTTGTAGTGACATCTTGGACACGGTGACTTTGCCGAAGTTGTTCAAAAAGACTAAAATCATTGCAATCCTTAAGCCAGGGAAACTGGGTACTGATGCAACACACTATCGTCCGATTTCGCTACTAAGTACTACATATAAAATTCTTGAGAGATTGATTCTTAACCGAATTCAGCCAGAAATTGAAAAAATATTACCAGTAGAACAGGCAGGATTCCGGACAAACCGTAGTTGTACTGAACAAGTCCTTGCGCTAACTACCCTGATTGAAAAAGGTTTTCAAAACAATCTAAAAACAAATGTAGCATTCATTGACCTTACAGCAGCGTATGACACGGTGTGGAGACATGGACTGTTATACAAGCTGGCTAACGTAATTCCCTGCAAAAAGATATTGACACTCGTAGAAAACATGTTAACCAATCGCAGATTCCAAGTTTTCATGAGGGATAAAAAGAGCAGGTGGAGAATATCCAAC